ATAGCAGCTACTAACCAGTGAGGTACTACAAGTTAATTACTTTTGAAATGCTTACAACTATAAAGTCGTATATATTTATTGAAAAATACGATAACATATATCTGCTCACGTTGTTAGATGGAGTCATATATCCATCATCACATGAGAACAGAACAAAGAAGCAAAATGTCAATAATGTTGGCTGTACATTATACGACATCCGTGTTAAACAAATATTTTGCTCAGCATTTAATTGAATCTCTTTCATCGGCATATATTTATCTGCATCACTCTCATCAACAAAAAGACAGTCATAATAGTTACATCAAGTTCATACTGATTATGTAATATTTGATGGAAGAGGAATATGTCCTGATAAGTGTTGAAGCGAGGGTACCAAACAGCAGATGCAACATGAACACATTATCACATTGTCCTTGAAATACAAGTCACATACTGAATGGTCAACTGATGCTCTGTCATTAGAGATCTATAGCAAGTAAATTAGTTGTGCTACAAGCCATGGTTACAGTGTGATCCATAGAAGATTAATGTCCTTATTGTACTTACGATAGGGTAGTAGTGATGGAAACTAATTGTTATCATGATGAGTAGCTTATTAGCTTATACGATCATCTAATCTCAGACAACTTAATAGTATACATGTGTGTGCTATCGAATAACAGCTTTCAACAAATTTCTCCATTAACAAAGAGTTCAGCTTTATCGTGTTTCGGGCAATATATGTGTCTCGCGCCTCTCGGATTAACCATGCAGAGGGTTTTCCTTTGACACAATGAACACTCCTGCAGTTCACCTGGAGTGTTTTGCCATCAAAGATTTGTTTGGAATCAAACTATCTGCAGACTATTTTGCCTCGAAAGGAAGGTTACAAATTACAAGAGTTTTTGTTTCAATTATTAAGAGAAATGTGTGACCGCCACTGTGACACTTAGGATCATACAAACCTTTTCTACATGTAAATGCTGCTGGAAACAAAACCAACTCAGATCACTTGTGTTAATGAGTCCTTTTTGAGCTAAGCAGTATATCCTTAATGTGTATGCAATTAATTTTACGTCTCATCTACGATGTTTCTCTATTTCTGGAGACACAGTCTTTAAGGAGTATAAAGTTGAAACTTGACATCAATCAAATCGTGCCATTTTTTTGAACGCGTTATGTCAAAACAGCTTTTAAACATATTACATATATGCACGACATGTTATTATTTATTATATTTAATATTTATTATTATTATTACGCTCACTATTACCTCCAACCAACATTTTCACCTAATTATATGTCCTTAAGACACCCATCCTTTTTCAACCAAAACTTGAAATGCTTATTATCATCTCCAAATGAACCTATTAAAACAATGGAAGTATTTTCAGATACATTTTATGTTGATAACTGACACGAAGCAGTTGCTCAACCTTTGAAAATAACTTGAAACGTCAACATGCACAATACATGTATCTTAATTTCTGAAAAATTAAAGACAACTAGAAAGATGAACTTTATAGAGAATTGCACGATAATAACAAATAAAAAAAAACAGTTTTATACCTCCGTCTGACTTTTCCTGAGATCTGAAGGACATAAAACATATCCGCGGAGTGTTTTTGCGCTTTCTTTTTTGTTCTCTGTAATTGTCTTTATCAAGGTTTCTAGCATGTCATAAGGAGAACTTGCAATAATGCTCATCATTAATTATTTGGGCGATTTAGAATGGAATTTCTTTAGCTATTCTGTAAACAAATATATAAATGAAATACAATAAACAAACGATTCCACAACCCACTATTCATTTAGCATTGACTTTCGATCTTATATATGATATTTTTGTTGTAATTAATGTTGTTATGATATTCTTAAAGAACTGTTTGCACAAAGAGTTTGTATCTCATAAATGAACAAAATGACTGCGGAATTATAATGCTAGAAATCGGATTTCGATACCTGTGGTGGGTAGAGCACAGATAGCCCTTTGTGCAACTTTGTGCTTAATAACAAACAACAGCAGAAGCACACAAATTATTAGTTACAATGCAATGTCATAAAAACTCAGTTTTATTAACAGCCGTTCCTTTCGTCGTACTTAACAAATATTTTCTCAAAACTGACTTCAGAGATGATTCCATCCAACAGTCCACTGTTAGAGTATTTTAAGCGCAGTTGCTCATGTCGTCGAGTTAAATCTCAGTTTTTACGTTGTTTTAATATGTTTCTGTCCATCCAAAAAATCATGTCTTCTACCAAAAACATTCTATAATATTTGCAACAGTTGCAACGATTGTGTGGCGCCTAGTGTCGATATCCTGGACGTCTAAAATGTTCATAACACATAGTGACTATATATAATAGCAAGCATAAACTCAGATGTGTCTTTTACAGATACAAACGGGCTCTGTCATTTTATAAATACATCATTTTTAGTTTAAAGTACAAACGCTGACAAAGTTTAACTTTTCTGCAAAAAACGAGTAGATTTGTGTGTAATTGAGAAATAAATATTGGGTACAAATCTAATTAAATAGGGGGCAATGACTCCAGTTATAGCAAATCTAATTTTCTGTGAAGAGAAGGAATAATATAATAAACTGCTAATAATTTAAGTATTTAGTATATCTCAAGATTCTACAGTCTAACGCAAAAATAGCGAGACTTTGTTTTAAGCAATGCAAAGATAACAAAATGAAATTGAATGTATATATATATATATATTCCACTCTATATTTATAGCTCTGGAGATAAACTAGCTAAGGGTCTTCGTATTACGCTTGTTAAAACCTAGATATACTAGATATATATTTTAATCATCCGTCATTTATCTTCAAGAAGATGGTCTAATGAAGCAAAATTATATACCAAGACGTAAACTATGTTCTTCAGTATTGTAATAAATCTTCATATCCCTCCTCTCGTCCTTATTAAAAACGGTAAGCCTTTATATCCAAATAGTTTGGTGATCTTGTATCGAATTATTTGAAAATTAGGATTTACCAAGTTTCAACATTTAAGTTCTTTTGATTGTTTGAAAAATCATTAAATGTTATACGCATTCCATGTACATTCCTCGTATGCCGTAAGAGTTCGCTGGTTTTCTAAATATATTTTGTTTGTAATTAAGCACAAAGCTACACAATGGTCTATTTGTTCTCTGCTCACCACGGGTATCGAAACCCGGTTTCTAACGTTGTATTCTGAATATACATGACACATTGTGACGATATAGAGATATCTTGAAGAATGTGCCTGCGGGGATGGTTTTATATGTAGACTGTTTATCTACTCAGTCTTCACGACACTTATTAAACTTCACGCAAGAATAGCCTCTGATATGGCCTAAAACTAGCTAACTTACTACATGAAGATGTTGACATAAGAGCCTTTCTTAGTTTGTTCTGGAATATCCTCGAGAAAGAAATGATGGAATTTTAAAATATCAAAAATACTTCATTTTCTGAAGATATTGAAATACAACTTGTATACATAAATATATTGTAAAAATTAATATTTGTTATTTTTGGATTTCTTTTATTTAGTTTCAGATTAGAAAGAACGCGTTCAACACATATCTTGTAATGTGAATCAAAAATTGTTGAAAAACAACGGTGAAAAAGAAAACGCCTTAGATGTCGTAGACCTTTGCATTAGTGGAACATCTTGTTGTGGTTAAGAATGTAAAAATAACATACCTCTATTCCGTATTTAGTTATTTACTTATTTATTAAGTTTTCTATTTTAGTACTTCTTTGAAGATGAAATGCAAGAACGAATTTGAATTACTCATGACTTATTGTGTGATTTTCTAAAATTCTTCACGTTAACTGGTATAATAGTGTGTATTTTTAGCACAAGCCACTGTGTTAGACAGAATTACTGCTTAAATAAGCGAAGTGGTGGTTTTTGTGATAAGGCAATTATTATCTGAAAATTCTTGTTTTTTAACTTGGTTTTCTGTTAACCTGTTAAAACCATTAAATAAGTTTATTTAAGCGTTCACATAATAGTTCTGTAATATGTATTTTAAAGAATTTAAAATAAATACAGATTCAATGAGAAATTACATTTAATCTTAGGGGAAAGTTATTTAATGCACAAATAAATTGTGGCGAAATAATATAAATCCACATATAAACGTAATTTCATAAGTATAGAAGAAATGAACTCTTTATGGATGAACGTTGTGACATGTCTGATGTCATCATGTATGAATAACTTAACTATGATAACAATATGGTGCATTTTAAAAGTTACGGTTTAAGCGCCGAAAGGTAGCGAAGAATTAGAAATCAACAGGCTTTACATTTGTGATGAAAATCACAAAAACAGCTTCAGATGTTTCTTTTTCACATTCCTCTTAATTTATTCATTTCAGATTCAAAACCAGAGATTCGTAAAAATATCATTTCAGATCTATCTTTTGTCCTCAAAAGTTTTCTAGATTTCAATCTTTCGAATTACTAGATGTCTAAACATGACTGTTTAACCAATGTGGCACAACTTAAGATATCGATATTTTATATCGACCGATTTTCTTAAGTTGTAAACAATTACTAAAACAGCGTGTAGTGAAAGGAGAGTTAATCAATTTCTGGTTTTGAACATTAATTATACGTTTTTGAAAGTTAAAAAATGCGTTGATCATTAAATTATGCTATACAGAAATTATTGCTTCATAAAAGGGATACAGAGTATCTGATTAATGAAGCTATTTTATTTAAAAGAAACTTTTTCAGGGAAATATTCGTTGACTTCCTAATACAAAGTCATGAAAGATAATTTTATACGTTTTGTAAACTTCATTAAGAAGAATGAGTATTTTAAACGACATTGTTACGTCATTCTTCATTTTTTTATGGTGTTTCTGTTTCTTTTGGGAGACCTTTACAAGTGATTTTATCACGTTTTCACATTTTAAAATAGAAAAATTAACAATAAAACTTGGCATTTCAAGTATTGCTACAGCATCGCTTGCATGTTTTATGATTTTTTTCTGTATCTTTAACTAGGAGGCCTTTCTGAATCTGGGAATGAAGTGTTGCAGTCAGCATTCCGTTACGCCATAGATCGAATCAACTCAGACAATTATTTACTACCCAACTCTCGGCTTTCTGCTAATGTCCAGCAACTCGAATACCAAGATAGTTTCCAGGCGTCTCGCAAAGGTATGTAGTTTCAGAGGCAATTAAGCTTGAATTAGTTTAAAGGACCACGTGTAATTAATTTTCTGGATTTTAATTCTTACCATAATTGGCTAAAAATAAACACAAACTTCTTTCAAGATCAAATCTGCGAGAGTTTTTAATTTAATAAGCTAGAAAGTTTTTTTTCGGTGGGAGGGCGTTAAAAACGTTAGTAAATTCCGTGAATAAAAAAAAAAGGAAATTAAAATTCTGTCCATTTACAAAATAGTGCAGCTTGTTGACTCAAACTGTGGTATTGTGTATGACAATGATTTCCAATCTGTTTCACTCTACGGTCCGGAAAATCTTTACAAAACTATTACGAACCGTTAGAAGTATAAAGGCCTACAATATAGAATATGACGTATAGATATGAAATACACAGAATGCAGATAGTTATACAAATGGCTGTAAACATTAGTTTGTAAGGATTTTCAAAAATACAAAACATGTCCGCGAATAAGCGGTTTAAAACCAATAGTGTATAGTTTATCGACAGCTCGTGCAACTGATTGTCCAGTTCTGCCAGTTGTCTCTAACATTATCATGTTTAATAACTAATTGGATTTTTCCCTGTTTTTCAATAAGTTTATAATCAATATATAGTAAAGCATATCTTGAGTTTTCTTCATTTATAAAGCGTTTATCAATCTGTGTTTTATCCAGCTTTTAATATTATGTCTTTATATACTAATCTTCAACTCAATGATGCATCCTATTGATTTCTTTTTCTCAAGGTTCAGAAATAGTAAAGGTATTCCTAAATATATATTTCAAGGCAAGTTCACTTTGCTGAAAAATAATTTCATGCGCATATATTAAACACCATACCCAGTGGCTTAGCAGTAAGTCTGAAGGCTTATGGCGCGAAAAACCGGTTTTCGATACCCGTGGTGGGCACAGCACAAATAGTCCATTGTGTAGCTTTGTACTTAATAACAACAAACAGACAAACTAAAGAAATTACACCAAAAGGGAAGGTAATATCCTTCTTAAAGAAAATATTAAGTATATTTATGACGTTTTTAATTGTTTTATCATAATAAAATATAGTTCCCCTGTGTGTCAGTGGTAAGTCTCCGGATTTACCACGTAAAGTCCTGGATTCGATTATCCACAATGGATATAGAGAAAATAATCTATTGTGTAGCTTTTCGCTAAAGAAAACCATTATCATAATAAACACAAGAAAGAAAAAGGTATACCCCTAAAAAGTAGATTATGTGTCTATTAGAGTTGGGTAAAAATTATGTATCTATTAGGGTTGGGTCAAGATTATGTGTCTATTTGGGCTATGTAAAGATTATGTGTCTATTAGGGTTGTGTAAAGATTATGTATCTATTAGGTTTGTGTAAAGATTATGTGTCTATTAGGGTTGTGTAAAGATTATGTGTCTATCAGGGGTGTGTAAAGATTATGTGTCTATTAGGGTTGTGTAAAGATTATGTGTCTATTAGGGCTGTGTAAAGATTATGTGTTTATTAGGACTGTGTAAAGATTATGTGTCTATTAGGGTTGTGTAAAGATTATGTGTCTATTAGGGCTGTGTAAAGATTATGTGTTTATTAGGACTGTGTAAAGATTATGTGTCTATTAGGGTTGTGTAAGATATATATTTCTGTGTTAAGAATGGAATGACCGCACATAAAATATGTCTTATACTTCCGTTAAGAACTATATTCTCTTCCTTTTCGAAATCTTCAATAATTTCCATCTTGGTCCCTTTTCGCCGTTTAGTGCGGCCTGTTTGATGTTATGAATATATGTATGATCACATTGACGGTGCAGGTATTGGTTCTAAGTCGATCCCCAGTTTTCGAAATCTCTGTAAACATAAAACAAATAAATTATAGAATCTTGTCCTTCTGAGACTAAAAAAAGAAATAAAAAATTACCAACTCAAAACTGTAAAAGTATGACACATAGGAAAAATGCAGTTCCGTAGCTCGTCTATAATAATGTTTGAAATATTTAATATATATAGAAAATATAATGTAAGACACAGGTGTGCATCTATTATAGTTGTGTATAAGCTAAACATGTGCATCTATATCAAAAGAAACAACCACAAGTCTTCATGCTGCAAGATTTGTGTTTGATAATCGTTAGTTATTTATTAGAAAAATTCATTGAAATACTCCAATCATTTCTTTTTAGCAATAAATCGTCCAAAATATCAATAACTTATAAAATCTATTGAAACGTGTGTGTATGTCTGTGTGTAAAAACATGCAAACATAACCCACGTAACATTTTGCTCGCGTTAATGGTTCATCCTTATATAGTATAAGATCAATATCACAGTATAATGTATATGACATAATTAAATACGTAACAAATTATGTCGTTATTTACAACACTGGATATAGAAATAGCCATATATTCACTTTTGAACGTTTGTTTAACTTATGAGCAATTTCAATTATTCAGTTTATATATTTTATATAATATTACATCAATTAACAGTTTTAACCCTTGGAGACAAAGCTAAGATTAAAATGCTTTAATGATAATTTAGTTGAAATCTTTCTGTTCTTCTACCACATTTATAATTTGTTTCAAAATATACCGTATTTTTCGGAATATAAGACACACCCTTATTTTGAAGACAATGTTTTGGGGGAAAAAAAGCTACAGTCGCATTTGAAAGATTGTTATTGAACAAAAATTCAATTTGATACTTTAAAAATTAGTGTATATTGTTCTAAACACAAAAAAGCTCAAAACATCAAAATAAGAAAATACCAAAAAAAGGTTTACTGTTATTAAGTTTGGTTCAAACCCTACAAAATCTTCATTGCTCT